TTGAACTAGATGCTTCAGATAGCCAGTGGCGTCTTTCCCTCCATTTTGAATTTCTCCGGGACCAGACACACCAGTGAATCAGGTTTGGGACCACGTCTATGGTCAAAACAGTCTCTGTCCCACACGGAAACGCAATCGGGACCAGTAGTGAGTTTCTCTGTATCACGTCACTACCTGTTCATTCATACCCTTCATCTGGCCAAGCCCAGAATACGTTAACGAGTTACGAAGTGTTATTTCCTGAGGGCATTCGAAGTATATGTAGCAAGATAGTGCTAATTAGTGGTGAGCTACCTGTATCAAACATGCAACGATGTACCTTATCGGTGGTGACATGTTGTTTCCACAACAGGCAGGCAATAGCGCGCGAACACCAACTGCCGAAAACAGTAAGGTTAGGAAAATCATCAAATGTAAGAGGATTGTATGTATACAATAAAAAGACGTTCAGTACAGCGGAGGCATATCTTATAGATCAGTCATTTGACGTCTGGAAGTCGACACAGTCATCACGGAAAGTATAACGTTCTTGATAGGAAACTTTATGCGCACAACTGGCTCTGCTTTCTTCAACAATTTGTTTATAAAACGGATTGTCGCACATGTTCATATGGTGAAACGACTTCAGATATCAGATATTCATCGATATCAGTATGTTATCAAAAACACCGTTCTTTTATGGTTCATCGATATCAGTATGTTATCAAAAACAGTCTTTCAATTAGACGGGCAGTGGTGGCTTTTCTACCAAACTATTTGGTGACAAACGTGCAAGAAAAAACCCTTGAGAATCGTTGGATGGTTGTGTCTTCTAAAGACAGGGGAAACGAGGAAGTGACTCGGCGAATCGGGGATGAAGGAGCAAGCTGAATGGTGTTCTAGAAAGTACTGTTTTAGTTGCGAATGCTCACCAGAAAAGAACCCTGAATGACCAATGGATTAGCATCACCACAAGTTTAGAGTGCGTTTATGCATTTCACATGGAAAGTGAACGGAAATGGCTGGAGCACAGCCACAGCAATAAACCACAGCATGTCCACAACGTCAGGACACGTTTGCAACGGACATGTTTCGCTCGGCAAACGGTCTGGAACCCGAGCTGGTAGGATTCACCACTATGAAAGTAGCCTTTTCTCACCTGCGATAGCTAATGAGGATATCGGTATTGCAGGCGGTCCTTCGAGAACTTTACAAACTGATGCAGTGGTGAAATAATAAGCTTTTAAAAAATTGAATAATCGAATCTGTGTGACCAATCCTTTACCAGCAACTACTTTCGATAATGGGCTTAGTCTACTCCCAGACCCACTATGACATCACTTAAGGTAACTTCTTTCGAAAACGGAAACTGGATTATTCGTACCAATGAAAGCGGTCAATAGGTACACTCACCAGTAACGCACGTTCAATAATGCAATCTCGATGTTTACAGAAGGGAGTCTCCACTGTTGTAGCATTAGGCCAAACGGCAGCTCGCTCCGTTCTCGAGGCCTCGTCAGTTGGATTTCCCGACCCAGTGTTGGCATAACAGGAATGGAGAGAAGGGAAGCAAGATAAATGGAGACCACTGAGGGTGCTTTCAAGTTCCATAAGTCGGGACATAGGATCCTCCGAATTGTCCACTGGTGCGTCGACTGAGGAACCTGGACTTTGCACACGGTTGACGACTTCATTATCGGGGGATACGGGGGCGACCCGGTGAGAATATTCTGATTCGGACGCACTAACGGAAAACTCGGAGATTGAATTACGATTGTGCCTCTGCATTTTCAAGATTTTGGTGTGTTTTTTGCCCATCAGATGCTGATTGAGCTGCGAAAGAGATGAACAATCTAAGTTGCAGGAAATGCACCTGAAGGGCCCTTGGTTATTGTGAGTACTTGATGAATGTGGGACTTGTGCAACGGATGGCGACAAGGCAAGAAGTTTTTGACGGTGCTTGTGTCCATTAAGATGAGCGTCTCTTTGCTCGAAGGAGGTGAAAGACGTGTCGCAAACCGTGCAGGTGAAGTTTTCTGAAAGCAATACTCAACTAACCGGATGTAACACCTACCTTTAGGCTGCGTATTCTTCCGATGCTGGGATCCATGCAAGTGTTGCTCATAAGAAATGCGTCCGGTACATGAAACATTGCAGGACTTGCAAGTAATCAACCCTCCGTATTGCGTAATCGTAACTGTGTAGGTGCTAGGATCTCCTAGAGACACATTTTCATCGGAAATTAGACCGTCTCGAAAAGATGTCGATAAAGGTATGCCAAAAGATGGATTTTGAGGCCAAGAATTAAATCCGAGGTTCGGTTCACGAGAGTATATGAAGTGAGCCATCAGGGCTACCAAAACACAAGAAGTGATATTAGTGAACAGTGAATGGAAACACCAGAAACCACTGCGAGGATATTGGTGCACCCGCAAAAACAGTTCTGCCACAAGATTACACGTTTAAATATCGACGGCAGAATTCTAGGAGACTATGCAGAAACATTCATCTCATCCTATATGAACTTCTTCCTTCAGAATAAGAAACTGGGAGACGAAGTCCGCCCATGTAACGTGAAAACAGCCAATAGTCCTAACTTTTAAGTGCCGACTGCGATTACTTCATTTACCACTGCGATTACCTGGTTCTGGATACATCAATTCAGTAACACCCAGTACTTCTCCGGAAAAAATACGAACCGAGCATTCGCCCCTAGAAATATCTTCATAGTGGTTATACACTAGGTCGAACAGAATGAGGCTTCAGTGGTATTGTAATTCGTTCAGTATGGTGGTTTAAAGCGCTCTTAGACTGGACGCCTGTAGAGTAAACCAACCGAGTTTAGCGGAGTTGGTAATAAGCAAGACCTGCATCTTTTACCTGAATACGCTCCCAAATAACACACACAGACTATAAAGTAGTGCTGCAAAATAAAGTGTGATCAAATCCAAACATGAAGTTCACAAAGGAGCCAGCCCAGACCTAAAGGTGCCACATTGGCGTGGTGGCCTTGAGTGCTGCAATGATCCCGCAGGCTGTACTGGCTGGAACTCCATTTCAAAATATGAAACAATGCCAGGAAGGTGAGAGGGGAGAGCTTAGACGAAGAGCAGCGAGACCATGTTCTACGGGTAATTGTGTTACGAGGCGGTTTGGAGGTAACATCATACTGTCCTGGCAGTATGACATGGCGACCAGCATGTCCATATTCATCGGAGCAGCGATGCTGCCTTCCCTCGAGGATGGGTTAGAAAAGGTTGGCTCTAAAAACCACACACTCCGATTTAGAAAAGGTGGCTCTAAAAACCACACACTCCGATCCCCCAAAGTTTTACCGTGAGAGCCGGCGAATTGTTCAATACGGTCCAAATACTTTTGGAGCTAAATGGTGGTGGTGCTCAAAGGACGCCTGCTGTGCGCAGCCACATCAGGAGTGAGACACTAATGCTTTACTCTCTTCACCTTCAGGTTAGGCCGACTCCTTGCAGACGACCTGGTTAGACTAAGAAGTCACCGGATCCGAAAATGCTCGCCAAGGAAAGCCCTACTACATGTCACCTCGCGGGTCGGACTTTCGAGTCAGAAGCTGGGGGCAGGGTGAATTCAATTTCAATTTATCAGCTATAAGCCGTGTGCCATAGGCAGAGTGTTTCCAGCTGCAACAGTTTCGATTACCGGAAAACGGGAATGTGGAACGTACAGCCAAGGCCTTGGAAGTGAAACCATGTTCAGCTTGTTCGGAAATTGGTTAGCTACGCACTGAAGTCAATAGCTTTGATGTACGAGCGCCACTCACTACTCGATTTGGCCATTTCTGCAAATGTCATAAACCAATGGTGATTTGAGTCCCAGGGTCCCCATACAGAGAGGCGGCGGTTGTCCACCCAACTAAGTTTACTGGCTAGTGTTTTCATACTTCGTTGCGCGTCCACCTCTCGGTCGCTTGCACTTAGCACAGGACTGGACAGGGTTGGGCGAAAAGATCTCTGTAAGGCAAGTGGCCTTCTGGCATGCGGAGTACGTGTCGTGACCAGCGTAACCTATGAAGCGTGAGCAATTCATCTATCGCGGGAGATTTCCTTCTTCCTAAGACCATCTGGCGTACCTCAGCATTACTAATCCGATGTTCCCACCAGACCTGACCAATGTTTCGGAGATACCGATGATCAAACACTGATGTCCTCTGAGCGTAGGGGTCACGTCTCTGATCTAAAAAGCAATATGGATCGCACCACCGCAGTGTAAACTCTTCCATGGACAGCAAACTCGCGCCATGTCGGGATCATAGGTGTCGGATATTGGCAAAAGCTGTCCTGGCCTTTCGATTCGCGAAATAATCTCATCTCCAGCCAGCCCACCGGAACTTATACAGCTTCTCAGGTAAAGAAATTCATCTATCACGTCGACTGGCTCATCTGCATGAGGTGTGGGTTTGATCCCACCCAGTCATGTAGCAGCACTTTACAAGTTGCAGGTGTGAAGCGCATGCCAAACCGTGCGGCGGATTTACTTATATTATTTAAAATCGTTTGCATCTGAGAATGATTTGAAGCAAGGAGAGCAATATCGTCTGCATACTTGATGTTTGTGAGGGAACGTCCCAGAGGCATTGCGACTCCCGAGTTTTCAGAGGCAGGCAGAGAAACTTCAAGCAGCATACCATAACGACTGACTGATCGTTCAGTTGTAGCACACTTCCCATGCCTAACTGCGATGCCACCAGAACGAAGCACACGGAAGGAAGCACGGCCTGTCAACTACTCTTCCTGGGTAATTCCCATGGTTGCGATCACGAAGACGGACGGGAGAATCAGCATGTGTGCTTATTATTCGAAAGGCTTGAATGCGGCACTCAAATCACATCACTATCCCCTCCCGGTTCCAGCGGACCGATTTATTAAATTCAATGTTGGCACTTATTTTGCTAAACTCGATCTGGCTGATGCCCATGTATGGAATAAAATTTCAGATGACTACAAGGGTCTTCTAACCATTAACACGCACCGTGGTATTTTCCGGTTAAATCCTCTCCCCTATGAAGTAAAAACGGCGCCAGCCATATTCCAGATCATGGGTGCTATGGTTAACAGGCGCCGTCGATAGCACTCAAGACAGCCTCTGATCAGGAATAAATCTTTCGCCGCTCGTTCGCAGCACTTGACTGAAGCCAGAAATACGGCTTTCATCTCCAACTGGGAAAACGTACATATCTTTTTACATCCATCAAATACTTGGATTTTATTTTCGGTTAATCTGGCCGACATCTTGACTCGGATAACATTGATGCAATTCAGAGAACACCACCAATGACGGATGTGTAAGACATTACAGTGCATTACCACCGAATGTGCCCCTCAACTATCTCTTAAAAACGATGTTCCTTGGAATTGGTCACCCCGGTGTCAATCAGCTTTCGACACAGTTAAATCATTTCTATCGCTAGACCTTCTGCTTACACATTACGACTCAACTATGTATAAATAGTAAAATAATAGTATCGTTCAGCTGTAACACCCTTTCGGTGTCTAGCTGCCATGCCACCCATTCCATGAGGGCTGGGATACTGCTGGGTTGCTCAAGCCTAGACAAGAGAAGTACAGATGCAAGGGTCCGGTTCGAACCACGGACCTTCTGGTCAGTAAATTCGCGCTGTAAACACTGAGCCATATCTCGTCCCCATCTATGTATATCATTCTAGCGTCAGATGCATCCAACCGTGGAATCGGAGCAGTCATTTCCCACAGATTTCCTGACCGGACCTAAAAAAAGCCATCACCCATACAGCCCGATCTTTGATACCAGCCAAACGCAATTAGTCAAATAGAAAAATAAGCACTTGCAATCGTGTTTGCCGTCAGGAAATTCCATAAAATGAATTACGATCACCGGTTGAGACTTCTCACCGACTACAAACCGCTTGCTAGTATTTGCGGTTCGAAAAAAGCCGTTCCGGTATACACGATAAATGTTTTCCAGTGCTGGGCGACCATTCTCCATGAATATGGTCTTTCAATCAAATACCAGTCCATGGATATCATTGACCACGTAGATGCCTTATAAAGAGTGGTGGACTCACAGCGACAACCGGTCGAAGATACAGTTGTAGCTTCCACTTCTGTCGAATCCGAAGATTGCAGCGTACTCGCTGCATCCATTCGGGCCCTTCAGGTTGCTGCAACAATGATCAGGACGAAACCAGATTTGTCCCCGTGCTCTAATAAGCACTACACCACCGAACACGCTGGCCATCATTAGTGACACACCACATTGGGTCCTTATCGCATCGACGATTTTGTCTATCTGAAGTAAATAGTTGCTTTTTGTTAGGCGGAAGTCCACACTCATATCGCCTTACCAACCGCAGTTAGGCGCTACTACGGTCAAGAAGCTGGTCAAGAGAAATGATTACTATTTTGTCATGTTCGCTAGTGTTGTCAATTGAGAATTCGGGAATTTCATGCTCAACTCAATGACGGAGAACTAGTTCAAGTGCCCCGTTTTTATATCCGGTCTCCAGTCGTCTCCAGATATAGATATCAGAACCCGGCTACTTTATAGAATTGAACGAGATGCTCAAATGATGTTGCGGAACCTCACCACAGAATGTCCACGCCCATCAATCTGGAGCACGACACGCCCACGGTTGGTCAGTCAGCCGCTACTCGAAGTAGCTGTGTACCCGCAATCAACCCCAGCATCCCAACAAAATCTGACGACAAGCACGGTCGAAAACAGATGAAGCCTTTCACAAATTCCGGGTGAGTAGTATTTCGCTTGTTATCGCTGGTTTAGGAGTCACAAATGTTCCAGGTGCAGTCGTCGTGGCCACGAAGATTTCTCGATCTCATAAGCCACAGTCCCCAGAACACAACCGTACAGCTCAAAAAAGGCGGTCCAATTCAGTGACGGCGACAAAGAAAGTTAACTGGTTGCCAAAGGAAGTTTGCAATGGCTCTTATCAAAAACATGCCAGTTCATTTGCAGCTACAAGATCACACTGCTCAGTAAACCAACGCGGAAACGAATTCGTAAGCCGCACGTAAAACCTGGCCGTAGGCTGAAATTGACTGGCGGGGTCGACTTCTCCATAAGGTTCAATGGCTCGTCGGAACATGCCACAAACTTGACTTCATGTGGCCGGATTGGATCGATAAGCTGAAAATGTTGGAAAACCTGACTGATTCTCTTTGTAACCTCACGCACGCAACATCCAGGAGTGCCGCCGAACAAACTCACTTTCCGAAGCATTCACTTCATCATCATCATCATCGACAGCATGATATCAATGTTCAACACATATACCTCGATGGTGTACAGAAACGAATAAGAGTGGATGGGGGGTAGCTTACCACAACAATTCTGAGGTGCCTACACCTCCAGACACTCATTCGGGCAATCTGGATAGAACCTGACAACAAGAAAGCCAATGACATCAGTTAGCAGCTATATCTTGCAGCGTCTCCAACAAGGCGCAGTGGAGATCACGCTGTCCCCATTCTGGAAGGCGAGTAGCACCAACGGCATCCAAACGTTTCATCATCATTATCAGTTGTAAAAACCGCGTACTCGTGGTACACTGGTTGTACCTGTCACAGTTTCGTTCACCGATTCGGGGAGGTGGGCTAGGTAGCTGCACGTTGGAGGCGGGAGCTGATAAAATAGTGCGTAAATACAGCACTATAGGTGAACTGAAATCGTTCAGCTGTAGCATCCTTTCGGTACCTAACTGCCATGCCACCAGAAGGTTGCACGAGGGCTGGGATACTGCCAGGTTGCCCAAGCCTAGACAGGGGAAGTCGAGAGGCAGAGGTCGGGTTCGAACCACGGACCTTCCGGTCAGTAAATTCGCGCTCTAACCACTTGGGCCATCTCGCCCATAGGTGGACTGGTTAGTGGGAGGATTGGGAAGGGAGCTATAAAGTGAAGGCAATAGCTTGGATACATGAGCGTCATTGCGGGTGCGACTAGGCCATGTCTGACAATGTCTCTAACCATTGACAAGGCCCGTCCCCATCCAGGAAGACGGCAATGACCGGCGCATTCCGCACACTCCGGTCGCCCAACGGTTGACCGTGCCCGCTGGCGCATTATGCAATACGGTCGAAATAATTTTAAAACCAAAGAACCCGGTGCCGCTCAAAATTCACCTACCGTGCGCAGCCGCATCAGGAATGAGACAATAATGCCTTATTCCCTGCGCCCTCGGGTTAGGCCAACTCCCTGCAGCCGAACAGGTCATCGCCTCCGGACAAGGTCCCCAAAGAAAACTCGACTGTCCGCCGCTTCGTGGGCCAGACTTCTGAATCAGAGGCAGGGGCAGGGTCCTCGAATAAAACTCTACGTCCTCCCACTGCCTTGTGGGTCGGACTTTTGAGTCAGGCTCAAGGTGGGGTACTTCAAACAAACCCCCTTCTTCGGCTTGGGCAACCGGGAAGTATCATTTGCCCGCGCAGTTCGGTGTCCACCGATGTCCCTTCCCAATCCCTTCCCACCACACAAACAAACGTCGCTGGGCCATTTGATGGTGATGAAGGGCCTCACGCTCTTACTTCTAAACCTACGATACCCCTTCTGCGTAGGAACTTCTAACGTCCGTAATCTACGTAGCAAACAGGCAATGCTTGCTGAGACCTTATACTCCCTTGAAATTGATGTACGCTGTGTCTCCAAAGCACGCATACAAGATCCGGTTATACATCTCAGGACGCCAAGGATAAGCTCAGCTCTTTCACATTTCTCCATTCGTGTGTCCGGTGATCCAGAGGCGATGGCTCGTGGAATATATGGTGTGGGAGTTGTACTCAGCTCCAGAGCTGAACGCGCTTTGCGGGATTGGATCCCAGTGAGCAGTTGTGTTTGCGCCGTCCGGTTATCCAGTCCAGTAAGGCCCTATGCCTCTCGGCATAAAAAGGTGTACCCCAACGAACTGTTGTTCTGAGGCGGAGAAGGATGCTTTCTATCGAGAGCTATCTGGGCTCATTCGTCAAGCAAAATGCACTGACATTGTGATCATTGCAGGCGATTTGAATGCCAAAGTAGGTCGTCTGGGCTCCTTGAAATCACATTAGGGCGGTCGATTTGGAGTCGATGCTCGCCGAACAGACAACACAGATGGACTCCTTCAGTTGTGTGCTGATCATCAACTGTTTCTGTCCAGTACGAACTTCCAACGTTCGCACAGCGTAACCTGGCGGCCCTCAACTGCAAATCAACCGTGGACCCAGTTGGACCACGTCATCATCATCGTCATCATCATCATCGACAGCATGACATCAGTGTTCAACACCGATGCTTCACTGTCGTACAACCATGACTTATTTGAAAGCCTTATTGTAAAAAAAAGAGTAAAGTTGGCCGGGGAAGGGACTTAGTGCTAGCTTAACACAATCATTTCGAGGTGCCTACACCTCCAGACATTCACTCAGGCAATCTGGAGAGAAACTGACAACAAGAACGCCACTGACATCGGTTGGCAGCCATATCTTGTAGTGTCTCCAACCAGGCACAGTGAGGATCACGCGGTCCCCATCCTAGAAGGCGAGTAGCACCGACAGCACCCAAGCGTTTCGTGATCTCCTTCATACTACTGTGCCAGGTCAAGGGTTGGCCACCTCTCTGTTTAGGCCACTGAGTTGGGCATGGAAAACAGCACTCTCTTCAGCAAACGATGGTTCAGCATACGTAACACATGTCCCAACCAACGCAGATTCTGGTGCTGGACACATCCTTCAATGGAAGTACCCGTTACGCGACCGAAAACACGCTCTCTAACTGCCTCGTTACGGATTCGCCGACACCAACCCACACGAGCTATGGTTCTGAGACAACGATTGTCGAACACCTAAAGACGTCTCAGGCCGGCTGCTCGAACAGACCAAGTCTCACAGCCAGCCAACAAAACAGCCCGTACTGTAGCT